TTTTTTTTTTTATCCTAATGTCGAAGAAAGGAGAAAGAAAGACCGTATACTGAACAATTGAAAAGTTGAAAATATAAAAATTGCAAATGTGTCGAAGAAGATGAAATTCTCTTATCACAATAATATCCTTATTAAATGATAAGTGAGAAAAGAAAAAAAAAGCAAAAAAAAAAAAAAAAAAATAAAATCAACCATCACTATATAAGCGTTTAGTGAAAAACTGTTACATTTCTTTGATTAACATCAAATGACAGCGCATAGCATAACTGTGTAAATGGCAGGAAAATATTCACTTCTATGGTAGAAGCGTTCCAAAAATGAATTCTTCCTTCCGTTGTGTCAATGAATAAATGACTACAGACAACAAGAAGAATATCAGGAAAACAAGCAAAAAAAAAAAAGAATATCAACGCAATTCCCTGGCTTCTCTATCACATTCATTCATTCTCTTCCTACTTCTTCGTCTCAGTTAAATACTTGAATACATACATTGCTTACCTCTACTTCTTCTTATATTTGCTGTATAGTGCTGTATACTGCTGTATGTAGTTATGTTAACTGTTATGTGTTCTGATATTTGATGCGTTTTACTGCCGTATTTTTGTATGCTATTGGTGCACACACCTCGATAACATAAATATTTCACATTCCAACACTTGCACGAAAGGATGAAAGATATCTGTCTGTCTATAAACTGAAAGTAAAAGAACAAGAAAAAAGAACAAGAAAAAAGAACAAGAATAAGAATAAGAATAAGAAAAAAATGAACATTAAAATGATATAAAGTTTCTATCAATTGAAGATCTAACATCACGCTGCTCTGTCATCGTTATTATTATTATCATTATCGTACCCAGTTGATTTGGAAAATTGAGAGCTGTAGTAATTCTGAACGAAACTAACCGACAAAGAATGGCAAGAAAAAAAAAACATGAAAAAAAAAGAACAAGTTTTTTTTTTTTTCTTTTCATAACCGTTCTCTTCTCTGCTCAGAATATAAATAAAAAAATCTTTAAGTATGATTGACAGGTTAAAAAGTTTAGATATTTACTCAAATATACGCACAGGTAACCGAGATCTTTCCTTACATACATACTTACATACATATTTAGGAAACTTTTTTAACAAGATAACTTTATAACAATACCTTGACAGGGAATTTTATATGTAACCAGCGACGGTTAGACGAAGAAACATTGTATGCATTCAACAAACGATGTACGATGCGCATCCAATACTGTTAAAGTATATAAGTATATACATATAGACGGTGTGGTGTGGAAGTAGAAGTGGAAGTAAACTTTTGCTATTGTTGCAAACTCATCAACTATTTGCTAATATTAAATTATTTATATATTTAAATACACATATACACACATGCATAAACATATCTTAATATATCTTATAATTATATAATGGTATAAAAGTTTCAATGAATAGTCGCATTATATATGACATAACTGATTTTGCAACTAATCTACAATGAAATAACATCAGGC